GCGCGCTTCTTCCTCTGGCTCTGCACCAGGGCTGGGTTTCCCAAACAACAACGTAACTCGCGGCAGAAATATCATAGTACAATGTGTCGTTTGGGAAAAGAACGATGTAGTGACGAGTGTGTCCCAAAACCTGTAGTTTCTCTGTCACAGATCTATTGTTCGACCCACATTAGTTATAACGTAAAATGCCCATAATGATGCTCTAAACGAGGTGGTAACAACTTCTTTAGAGAGAGAGAAAAAAAAAACATTATTTTATTTGCAAATTATATTGTTTTACACAATCACACATTTAAAAAAAAATCTATTATAGTTTTGGTGAAAACATGCACTTATTTTCCATATTAATTGAAATATATATAACGGCACATATAAGACCTATTTTTGTTTCCTTTACAAATATTATTAAGAATTTCATTTCTAATTTCATATATAAATCATTAATGGTTGTAGGCCTAATTTACAGTAGGCTATTTATTTAGAAATAGAAAAAACTTTTTAATATAATATTAATTATTATTATTATTATTAAAGTAGGATATTGCAAACAATATGCAAAATAAATGCAAACAATATTCCATGACTCCAATATCAATTGCTACGAGCCTAATATAGAAATTTGAATTAACACGTAGTTCAGTCCATAAGTTGCTGTGAATAGAAACAGCCTATATAAGCCTACATTACCAGAAGTTGGCCTATAGGTAAAAGGTATATAACCGGGGATTTTGTGTCAACCTTGCTTGTGAAATATACTTAAGATATACCCCTGCCCTCATCTCAAACAAAATGTTTGGCTATTAATGAAGCAGCCTTTCTGAGGTGTTAATGGGGCATTGCGCTTTAACCGAAAACAACAACAACCCAAAAGCACTAAATTGGTTACAGGGGTTGCTTCAGAAAATTGCCTAATAATAATAGTAGTAGTAATAATAATAATAATAATAATAATAATAATAACTACTGGCATGTTTATAACTAAAGTTGTTTTTACTTCGGTTGCACCACATGCTCTTAAGGCAAACCGTAGTTAGTAAGGTCATAAGCTCTCCGTAAAGTCATACGTAGTTGCATTAAATCACCTAATATCAAATAAAAAGTGTTTCAATCGTTAAACTGATTTAGAATTCTGCAACTAATGCATCTACATATAACTGTTCTTTGAAAATTTGCTGTGAATGCACACAAATTACACAAAGTTATCAAAACATAAAACTTGATTTTTTAAATATTCTACACGTTAAAGAAAAAAAAGCAGGGAGAAAAACCCAGTCATAAAGAAATGTATGTTAACACAAAACAATCCTTGAAACAAAATTAAACTCTTCATTCACAAACCGAAAGAAATGCGAGATTTAGGAAGAAAATAAGGCTGTGAATAGAGGGAGCTCATCACAAGCTCCTCGATGTAAACTAATCTCACCGTCATCTCTTTTCTACCATTTTACATGGGGGGAGGCTGCAGTAAATTTTTAGTTGGAACACAGCGTTAGGTTTAAACTAAGTGAAATGGTGCAACACAGAAATATTTAGTAGTGCGTACATTGTAAATTAGTGTCCCTTTAAGTCACAACTAGGCTTCATTTTAACTTACACACTGCTGGTGCAACTGGCCCCATGTAATCAAAAAAAGGCTGCATATTAATAAGTGGGTCGCGGGTTATAATCTAAAAGCTATTGCCAGTCAAACACAGCACAGCCATTACAGCAAAATGGAGAGATTTAAATGTACATATTGCACATATGGAATTATCCACTCACTGCATGTCGTCTACCCTGATAAACATGCTAATTGTCTTATTATTATTAATATTATATTGTATGCACTTATGAAATTAAAGTTTATAGAGCCTGGTTTATACTTCTGCGTTATGATCGGCGTAACCCACGGCACATGCAACGCGCGTAGCTGTTTATTTTACTTCTGCGCAATGTCTCTGTTGGTCTGCATTAACACTTTCGAAACGCTAGTTGGCAGTGAGGTGTTAATGTTCCTCTGTGTTGAGTTTCTTCGCTGTTGTTTTGTTTTTTCTAAACGCTTCCTGAACATACAAGTGACTCAAACTCGCTCATTTTGAGGCTGGAACCGGCGGACGTGGAACAACTTTAACTATGAGATAAACACAAAACAAAACTTTCTATCCAGAGCTCCTTCACGGGACTCCACACTTGTAAACAATCGCTCTATTGGGCTCGCGCCACTCGCACGGCTCTTGGTCCTGCCCCCAGACTCGTCAGCGCTGCCAAGCCGACCAGTCACGACCATCAAAAAAATCACGACCTTGCGCTCTGTGTCGTTGCGACTTGTAGTTACATTTTTTGAGAGGTGCACATCATCGACGCCGACGGCCAATAAACAATGCTTAAACATTAAAATGTGCTTTTAGAAACTTAAAATATTTATGTTTCTAACATTTAATTATACATTTGCTGTGTTTAATATAGGGGATAGAATAGCATACAGTATAAAAAAAAAATTTTGTCCTTTATACCGAAATAGGGCGGCTATAAGAGGAGGCGCTCTATTAAACAAGCAGAAACAGCACAGACTGTTCACTCTGCATGCATGTGAAAGAAATGAACAGAGAAAAATAAACAGACGATAAATCAAGGCGACTCACCTTACGTGCCGATATGCCCATTTATTTAATTCATAACTGCCACTAATAGCTATGCAGAAGGGAAGCTATTTTGAGTGTTTGGCATGTAGTGACAGATTTTCAAATATTTGTAACCTGGCCTATAATAAATAATAATAATTATTGATAAAGCAAGTTATACTGCAATCAGGTGATGTGTTTCATTGACTCGATAACCTTAATATTTTGTAGTGTGTGCTGTGACGCGATTTTCATTTCTTGCAATGTGCGCACGTTTAAGATTTGAGGTAATAACATCGCCATGATAGTCAAAGAAATGTAAACATTCTTTTTACCCCAACACAATTTAATAGGGCGCTATAAAGGCTAAACAACTTCATTCTTATATTTGTTTAATTTTTGCAGCCTGGGGCTATACTTCTCACCATCTATTGTATCTTTTCTAAAGCATACAGTATAGTGTAAAAGCATGTTTATTACTAAGAAAAAAAGAAAAAGTATTTTTTAATTGATCACATCACATAATCTACTGTAGGCTACATTACACATACAGTTAGGGCTGCTCTATTATGGGAAAAATCATAATCACGATTATTTTTGTCATAATTGCAAACAAGATTATTCAAAACGATTTTTCAGCTGAAGTCAAAATTATTAGCGCTCCTGTGAATTTTTTATTTTTATTTTTTTTAATAAATATTTCCAAAAGGATGTTTAACAAATTCAGGATTTTTTACAGTATTTTCTATAATATTTTTTTTCTTCTGGAGAAAGTCTTATTTGTTTTATTTTGGCTAGAATAAAAGCAGGTTTAAATATTTTGAAACCTATTTTAAGGTCAATATTAATGACTTGCCCAATTATCCTAATTAAGCCTTTGAATCGTACTTTAATCTGAATGCTTGTACTTTGAAAAATATATAGTAAAATATGTGCTGTCATCATAACAAAGATGAATGAAATCAGTTATAAAAAATTAGTTATTAAAACTATTATGTTTAGAAATGGGTTGAAAAAAAATCTTCTTTCCATTAAACAGAAATTGGTGGAAAATGGTTGCTAATAATTCAGGAAGGCTAATAATGCGGATTTCAACTGTATATATGCAGTTATTTTCCTCCTTGTAAATGAGCAAAGGGAAAGATGTACAATAGAATAAAAATATGAAACAAACTGTGCTTTAAGCATCTTATAAATGAATAAATTATCACTGAACACAGCATTTTGACACTTACTTGACCATTAAAACGCTCACAGTAAGATAACTTTAGATGTGTGTACTCTGCTCGTCTAGGCTAAGTGCACACACAGCAGCATGTACAAATCAGATTATGAAAAATGATGAAGAGCATGCTTTTCCTTTTATCCTTTATTTTTAGTTTTTGTTTTTTTGTTTTTATTTACACATTTTTTTAAGTGGTGAGGACAATATTCACTGGTTCCCCCCTCCTGTATAATAATTAAATGTTACATTTTTAAGAACTTCACAAATAGCCTAAATAACACTTTTCAGTATCAGTGATAATATAAATAGTAACTAATAATAATAATATTATATTATATATTATATAATATTATAATAATAATAATAGTAAATTCTTAATAATAATAAGAAGAAGAACAAAAAATATTAGCCTATTGATAACAATATAAGTGAGATGTTGAGGAAAAAACAGCGTAGGCTACTAACTCTCCACGGTTTTTGGTTCATATTTTAAATTATTTGACAGAAAAGCTAACATGCTGACACATTGTCTGGATTAAGCAGACCTAGTTGGAGTTGCAATGTTTCCAGCAGCACTCAATACACGTTCAGACTTTCTATCGCAGTGCTTGTAGCGCAAATGCACAAATGCTTTTTCCTATGCTACATTTCTCGTCAATATCTTCCATTTATCACTTTCTCTTTTGTATCTGGCCATTTTTAAATAGGGCTCTGCGATATCTGGCTGACAAAAAAATCAAAAAATAAATTTTCATTTTTATAATTTTATATATTTTTATTTTATTTTTTGTGCTCATAATATTGACCTTTGCAGTTTTAACCTTTTTATTATTCAGCTAAACTAAAAAACGGAAGACTTTCTCCAGGGGAAAAATATAATAGGTAATATTATGAAATTATTGATTGCCTTTTTTTAAAATTAAGAAAAGTCTTTACATGGAAAGGTCATATCACTTTCAATAGTCCACAATGATTCAAAGCAGCTACTGAAAGTTATACTCGCATATGTTGCTGTTAAATCATGTAGTTGTGTGATGTATAACCATGGTGTAAGTGCACACCTAAGGATTAACCTTTTTTCCAAGAAAGAGACTTTTAAACGATATTGATGAACAGTTGATATGATCTATTAAAAGTCAGTGATGCTAACAGTTAATCATCTTGTTTGCTTTCAGGCTCTAGCACTGGCAGAACAACCTACATGAGAAGACCATGGACAAAAGCAGACGTGAAGGCTGTAATGAGTTCAAAAGACTGATTATTATTATACACATTTTCATTTTTTTTTCCTTGTCACAGAGTGACAATATTTAACCATTTTCAAACATGTAAATTAAAAAAAAAAAAACATGGCCCAGGCCCACTTCTGTTCCATGCCAGTGCTTCACAGTCCATCATCACTCAGGGCAGTCTCTACATTGCTCTACAGTTTGCCTCTGCTTCTCAACCCATGTCTGCCACTACTCCACAGTCTGGTACTGCTCCACAGTCCAGGTCCACGTCTGCTTCATGAGCCTGGGCAATACCCATCACACAAAAATACATAACCCACAAATGCAGTCTCTCAGACTGAACATTTACAACAGTGTTGAGTAGCAAAAAGACATGTTTTTTGTTTTTTATTTACATGTTTGAAAATGGTCAAATATTGTCACTGTGACAAAAAAGTGAAAATGTGTATGATATTAATTAGTCACATTATAACACATTATATTACTGTCACATTACGAAATTTAGTTTTTAATCTGTTTTGTGTTCATATAATTCTGTATGTATCATTCAATTTGTGGAATCAAACTTTTATGTCTAGTTTTATCTTTTTTTCTTTTTATCTATCTTTTTATTTATTTTTATCCATCTATTTTTTGTTCTTGTCAGAGCGATAATAGTTGATGCATTTCATAATAAAATGTATATACATGTTTAATTCCCCTGCTGTTTTCCTGGACTTCAAAAATAAAATAAAAAAAGTTTTTTTTAATTTCTGTCATTGAGTGGCAATGTTTTGTATTTGACAGTATTCTAGTGCACTACCATGTTGTGTTCTAGTATAAATATTTAAATTTGAAAAAGAATAATCTGTTGAACGACTTAATTAAATTTTAAAATACCATTAGTTTGTTTATAAGCTGTAATCATTCATTCATTCATTTTCTTTTCGGCTTAACCCCTTTATTTATCAGGGGTTTCCACAGTGAAATGAACCACCAACTTATCCAGAATGTTTTACCTTGCGGTTGTTCTTCCAGCTGCAACCCATCACTGGAAAACACCCATACACACTCATTCACACACACTACGGACAATTTAGTGTATTCAATCCCCTGTACCGCTTGTCTTTGGACTGTGGGGGAAACCGGAGCACCCGGAGGAAACCCACTCCAACACAAAGAACATGCAAACTCCACACAGAGTTCACAGAGGGGAACATTTGTGCTCTGGCCAAGTGAAAGAATAAAATAATGAACATGTTATCGTACAGTTGTGCTTCTGGTTGTTCATGGTTGAAGGTTCTTTGCCAATTATGTTCTTTTTTTTATCTGAAGTTGCCTTTCAAAATATCTACTGTCCTATAAAATAAGAGCAAAGGCCCTTAAACAATTAACTTTTCATACTTTAATGGTAAAATGCTGTCTTTTTCAGGTTATTGTTCAACAGTACATTAAACAGATTGTTTAACTGATACAACACAATAAGCCTACAGAATTGTTAAATCAAAAGTGTATTATAAGCAAAATAGGTTTTGTCATTTAAGAAGTGACAGGCAGAACCTTAGCAACTGAGATGGGTTTAGCAGGGGTCTAGCTGAGGAAAGCCAGAGTCTGTTCTGTTGTCACCCTTACTGCAATAGCAGAATAGTGTGATATGTAAAATGTGTTAATCAGTCCTCTTAAACCATGAAGGGGCTAGGTTTGTGTGTAACATGTAAACAGACCTTGTAAACCATGATTTTGTCTGGCCCCATAAGCCTGTGAAATGTCACAAAGTTAATTTGAGTGTGTTGTGAAACAAAAATTGCTATTTTTAAGCGTTGTTTGCCTTTTGTAGCTTAAATTAAAATTTTTGGCACAAGTTTTATGTTCGTAGGATGTTGGCAAAGGTATGTCCCCGTAAACCACCAAAAAGTCACATTGACCTCATAAACCATGTATGCCTGTATGTGTGTGTGTGTGTGTGTGTGTGTGTGTGTGTGTGTGTGTGTGTGTGCGCGTTGTCAATTCTGTTGACAGCAGTTGCTGCTTTTTGCACCAGTGTCTAGGTTTAAATAAAATATTATAAACCAGTTTATGGCTAGCAATCGTATAAGCTATGAGTCAATGACTATGATGAGTCAAATATTTTCAATTCATATCATTTCCCCTGCAAGTGTGCTTCCTAAAGTTATGCATTTTGTTAACCCTGCAATTGTGATATACACTTACATTGGTAAAAAAAAAAAAAAAAACAAACAAACAAACAAAAAAAACACATAAATACAATTCAAATTTTGAATATTTAAAATGTTAATTTTAAGAGGAGATGTACAGTAAGATCACATTGAGTTAAAGGATGTCAGAACTGTGAGATACAAAGCTAAAATATTATTTTATGTGCAATTATGTGTCTTGTGAGGGAAAAAAAAAAAAAAGATGTAACCTTGTAATAAAAAGGTAGAATTACAAGGTCTCAGTCTTAAAAACAAATGTCAGATAAAAACCCAGAATCATGCAAAGTTCTGACTATTTAATTTATTGTAACTTGTTATTTTAACAGTATTGCTGTATTTCTGCCAGAATGCATGCACACTACATCTGGGCTTTTTCTCCTGGTCGATATGAAATAGTCACGTATGAGCAAGCTATTTTGTCTTTAACAAATTTGGCTAAATATTCAAGTTATTAAAATTAACATGATTTATATAGATTTTTTAAGTCACAATTTTTAATTGATTGCTTTTGATCATAATGTAATAGAAACTCTAATAATAAATAATAATAAAAAGAACTTGCCTGGCTTGCCTGAATATAAGACTACATATTTGGTTGACTAATCAGCATAAAGGTGCGACTCTTTAACGCCTTGGCTCACTCAGGAAGGCAAAAAAATTTCAGGATTTCTGAAAACAATATTTATTTACAAACACTCACTTGGAAGGACATCAAGAATACAAGAGACACAGGAACACCAAGGAGTGACGACAAGAACTGGAAAAAGGGGTCACATTAATAAATAATAAAATAATAAACAAACATGGAGAATGAAAACATGGGGAAAGATCACATGACAAAGACAAGGAACACAGGAAATCTTGTTTTTTAACAAATAAAAAAAATCTTTTTGTTTTTGCCTTTTTATTTTCAGTTTTGATAAAAAAAAGTTTTTGTTCAATATAAAATAAACAAAAACAAAAAAAGTCTCATTTTCCAGATTAAATAGAATAATCAATTGATTGGATGATACATGAATTGGATATCCTTTTTGTGATTTCACATCTCACAATAATGTAAGATTTAAACTCACAATAGTGAGAAATTTTCCAAATTGTAAGATTTTAATTTACAATTGTGAAAAAAACACTCTTGTGACTTGAGCTAAAGTAAGGTTTATCTGTAACAATTTATTTTGATTCTACATCTGAGTATTAGTACACTGTCTGCTTAATATATGTTGATACTGCTCTGTCAACAGACATTTAACCCGCTATAAGAAACCTTGCAGGTACATGTCAACTTACACTAACCCTAACCCCAACCTAACAGTCTACTTATAATTTAATGAGAATTGCATGTAGATGCAATGTAACTTAAATTCAACAAACGGAGCATTAAAATAAAGTGTGACCAGTTGATCCTTTCCATTTAAAAAGAAAGTGTGAAGCTCATACTGTAAGTCTTATAATTCTGACTTTTGTCACTTACTCTACCAGCTTAAATATAGTGTATATAATAATACAAACTCACAACTGTCAAAAAAGTCATAAATGTGAGATAAAATCACACAAGCTTGCATGTCTCATATCATGTACAATAAAACTCCAGCAAGTGTCCATGTAAGCGGCTGCATGCAAAAACCTCCCTCTACCTTTCTTATCACAGCAAGTGCAGTCTTACATTGAGCAGCCAGATTACAAAAGAGAACAGATGCACTAGTCTTCCATTACAACACAAGAAGACAAACTCCCTGTTGCGATAAAAACACAGATTAGTGCTCTAAGTGGTAGACTTTGGTCGGGAATTTGAATGAAACGTCTTTATGGCCATTGATATTTTCAATAAAAATGTTTCCATAGCTGCATGGACACAAAAACTGCACGAGACTGACACAACCACCTGAACAATCACACCACGGACACGACAGAGGAGATTCCAGAAAATCCTACGCAGATAATGCTGGGGAAGGAAAGTGTGAGAGAAAAAGATGAACGCTGCCTCTCATGATGAGTGATCCATCGATACTTGTGGTAGGAGATCTTTGTGTGGGCTTTTTTCTTCTTCTTCGGTTTGCCTTGAATAAACACCAAGACAAAAGGTAGATGACAAACGCTGAGAGCGTGCCAGTAAGAGAGGGATGTGAAGATGTTTAATTCATGATTCCTCCTCTTCAAACAAAGATAAAGCAAAGTTTAAACACTCTCCAGAAGTTCTCTCTGATGTTCAATAAGATTAGCCAGGGAAAACTTCAATATCAACAAAAGGAATTGGCAGCCTGTTCTTAAATGTCTCTTTTAACCCATCAGTAAAGGTCATGTTTCATACTATACTAGTTATTGGCCCCTCACACAATCATAACTGCTTTAAGCCTGATTTTGTACCAAAAAAGACTTTTAGTACAAGAAAATTTACTGTGGGTATGGAAAGTATTCAGAACCAATAAACATGGCTTCACAAAAACCTATGTGGCTGTTTTTGAATGGCCCAGCCACAGCTCTGACTTAAACCCAATTGAGCATCTCTGAAAAGACCTAAAATGGCTGTCCACCAACGTTTACCATACAACCTGACAGAACTGGAGAGGATCTGCATCGAGGAACGGCAGAGGATGTGCTGTCTTTCTCCAACCAGGAGTAATTTACAAACTTACATTTTCCCATTTTGCCGTCTGATTTGCTCTATGGTTTCGCTACATGTGGAGAGCGTCACATCATCTTCCCGGCTTTGTCGCAAATTATGTGACATCACTTCAACGGAGGAGCTTGGCCAGACGTGCCCTGGCCCGAACCAATCATATGGATCGAGCACGCCGTTGTTAATATTAGAAGGAAAATAAATATATTTATTCTTTTTTAGAGTCAAAAACTTTGGACAATGCTTGAACAAAATTTAAGACCTCATAAAAAGAGATTAAGACTTTTTAATACCTTTTAAGGGCCTTAATTTTCTTATAATTGATTTATCAACTTGGCCAAAAGATGAAGGCAAAGGTAATCTAATTATATAAACAAGTACACCAACTTAACTAACGTCTTACTAATATAAGCCCAAGTGTATTCATAAATCCAGGCCAGGGTCGTTATCCATCATCAGTCAATCAACTAATATCAGACCTATTTTATGGTACATATCAAGGATATTGATTTCAGCTAACAGCTTGAAAAAATATAACCAGGACATTCAAGCAAATAAAACAAACTAAGCGAGTATCACAAAAAGTCTTCGAAAAATCTACTTTAAAATCTAACAAAAGCAAGGCCAAACAGAGGATAGATAAAGTTCATTCCTGTACGTGAATGTGTAAAACTCTTTCAGCTTCAGTCTCTTCTGGCTCCGCTCCTCAGTAGTGCTTACAATAGGAAGAAAAGAGGCAATGCTTCAGGGAACTGGTAAGAAATGCCGTATTAAATTTTTACTGCCGTGGTCTATTTAGAGTTCAATCTGTTTTCAGAGACAGCTATAGTGGAAGTAAGGGCCACGGCAAACAAACAAACTTACACCAGTATACAAAA